ATCTATCGTATACTCTAAAGAGCTTCCACCACAACCCTAGATCTCTAAGCCCTAAGGTTACCTTCTAGAGATGCTACCCAACATCACAACTTGGCATTGAAGATCTTGAATGGTTTGAATCAAACCCATTGATGTGTGCATTTTGAGGAAAATTGGTGTGCCCAAGATCGCTCGAGGCCTAGAGGATCCTTTGCAAAGGTGAATCCAAGTGAAGCTATCCAAGATGTCGAATGAGGCCTTTTGGCGGAGAGATCTACTGGAGGAAAGGAAGATCTAACCATAGTATTGGTTGATGTATAAGATTCGAGTACTTATAGATTGACTTTGGGATAGTGGATTAGGTTTTGATCAACTGGTGGAGGTTCCCTACAGTTTTTTCCAAAGAGGATTTTCGCGTCAACAAATCACTTATGCCATTTATTATTCTTTTTTACATATACACTTGTGAATGTTAACTCACACGCACACTGTGTGTTTGATGGATTGAATTCTTGACATATAAATCAGCCATAATTTTGCATTGGGTTTAGGTTTTTGGATTTGGGCTCCCCCTTGTGAGATTGAGTGTTTGTGTGTTTAATTGCTAAAATTAATACTATCAATTTACATGGGTTCATGGTGGTTAAAAAGGGGCTCTCGCCATTGACTACTATATTCAAGTGAGAAGAGGTAATTGAGGTAGAATTAGATTTTAATTTGTATTTAATTAAGCTTAAAATAAAAAAAATCTATTCACCCCTCACTAGGCAGTGTCATGCGCTCCACGTGTGTAATTATGAGGGAAGATCTACATCGTTTCTCCCCCTCCCAGAGTGACAGACTAGTTATTAGGGTTATTCTACATGACCCTTGGAGGCTTAGGAGAGACTTGGAGAGAGAAAATAGGAGGAAGAAGAGGAGATTGGGGCAAGGATCATGAGGTTTAGCGTGTGGGAAACAACATACACACTTTAGGATCAATTTATGTGGCATCAATGTAGGGTTTCTTTCCCTTTCCTATTCATTGAGGCTAAGACTATTATATGTGTACTTTTTGACTCCTATTTGTATACATTATATAGATCTACAATGGCGTTTAGTTTTTATTGAAAAATACATGTTTTCGATTTCATGTACATTTTTTGATTCACTAACTCTAGATATTGAATAATGATAGCTAGAGAATGTTTCCTACCACTTCATGTATGTTTTGTTGAGTTCACCTTGTTTTCAGAATTATGGATAATGTTGTTGTGGTATATGTGATCTATTTGAAAAGTATGGTTTAAATCTTTTATATTGGTGATTTTGATGAATTTGAATGTACTCAAACATATAAGTACTTAAATATTTTTATTGCTTCAAGGGTTTGAAGGTTACCTATCACTCGTAGTGTGGTGTTGGTTCCTTGTAAGGTTTCAAATCACTATTTGTCCACGTAAGTTCGAAAATTAGGGTTAGTATACTACTCATAAGAAGATTTTGTTAAATATTGATGCGTCAGCATACACACTTCCTAAAAAGATGTGGCACTGAAGGGATTGATTTGATGGTTTATGTTTATAGAGGGAGGACCAGATGTATTTCGGTGTGTGAATTGTTGCTAGTCAATTTGGGTACATGAGATATTCTTATTACAAACTACTATTTTCTAAATGATCCATTATATGATAAAATTTTATTTACACATATCGAAACTTGAGATCATTATTAATATCATATAATTTACTTTAAAAGTTATCTATGTATATTTTGAAAATTTTAGGCCTATCTATTTTTATTATATTTCTAAACCTTATTTAGGCTTGGAAATTTTTTTTTTTTACTATGCTAGTTGTGTTCACCCCTTCCTTTAGCATTTTTCAAATTTGAGTATTGAGATTATCAGACTAGGTGAGGACGCTGAGTTGGATCAGAATGGGAAACCTGATATGGAGGCTCGAGGATTACTTATTTAGTTTATCCAATTTTCTTTTTGAAGATGGAATAATTTAATGAATATTTATTATTTAGTTAGATGGGAAATATTTGTTCTTTTTTTGAGGTTTGAATGTAAACTTGAGTTATGGATCGATATTTTGAGTTTTATTTAGCTAAATGATGATGAATTTTGAATTTATTGAATTAATGAATATGTATATATATATAACCAAATAATGTTTTGTAAATGTGCAGGTGCAGGCTAAGCAAAATTTATGATCTAAAATTTGAAATGAGCGACATCAAAATTTTATTTCATCACAATTTAAACCAACTTCAAACTTTTAATCCGAGATTAAGCATCAAATCAAAGTGTTGCTCAGTCAATACCGTCACATTGTTTAGTGAGTACAACTTCATTAAATGTCAAGATTAATTTAATTTTTATTTATTTCAATTCAATAATACAAAATTAATCTCAAAAAAAAAAAAAAATCTAGCGCAAAAAATATCATCTTTTTTACACGGTTTCCAAATAACTCAATCAACACACTCTCCAATATTAAATAATCTCATCAATTTACACTTATCTCTTTTTATTTTAATTTTAATTTGCGTAATTGAACAAAAAATTAAAATTGTTATTTAAAATATAAATATTACAAAATTAATGTTCTATATTTTAGCATTATATAGTATTTTTAGACACGGGATTATCGCTAGTGCATAAATTTTTNTGTTCTATATTTTAGCATTATATAGTATTTTTAGACACGGGATTATCGCTAGTGTATAAATTTTTGGTGATCTTATTTGGTGACCACATAATATATGTGTGTGTGTGTGTGTGTGTGTGTGAACAATATTATATGAATCTTATTTGGTGACCTTATCATTCTCTTCTATTGGATTGACACTAATCCTACTCTTAGTTAGGACTCATTATCAATTCAATTGTTATGATCCACCATGTCACTATATAAGATCACTAAATTAGGTACAAATAGAATTTCCCTATAGAGGATTATCTTACTAATAATAGAAATATTATTTATATCTAATTTAATGACCTTAGAGCATCTTCAACCCTGACTCTAATGTAGATTCAAAGTTAAATTTGAGTCTAAATCATCTAAAAACCTTCTCTAAACTTAAACCCAAACTTATACCAAATCAAAAATTTATTCTTGACCCAAATTGAGAGACTTAATTTTTATATCAAATTTCTAATGGTAACTTTTTACTATATCCAAAGCCCAAAAGACTTATTCGATGACTTATTCTCTATCTCTTTCTTCTATGCTGCTCCATTGCCAGCCACCACTAAAGCATTCCAATCCTTTGAAGCATTTTCAATCAGTTGTACAATTTCAAATCATCGATTTTTCTTGAAATTTCAAGCCTTCACTATCCACACATTGAGAAAATTCGCCATTTTATTTCTTCAACCATTTATTTTTATTGAAAATGATTCATTTTTTGTATTCTTCAAACCAAACTCATGTCAAAGTTAGTACTTTTTTTATTTTCTTTTTATTTATCTGGATTTACAGAAGAATATAAGGGATTAGAACAATCCAAAAATTCTAGCATGGTTTTCTTTTATTTCTTATATTTCTTTTCATTCCCAAGTAGTGTTGTATCTAGGATTGTCAAAATTTGACACTACACAATTAACCGACACGAATCGATACAAATTAAACGGGTTTGGGTGAGATCTTAACAGGTTTGGGTGATAAACGGGTTGACACGCCAAACACGTTTAATAAACGGGTCGTGTTCGGGTGAGACCTGTCAAACCGTTTGTCACACGTTTACCTGTTTAAATAAAATTAATATAATAATAAATAAATAATTATTTTAAAAAATTAGCAAAAAAAAAAAGAAGTAAAGAAATCAATAAAAAAAAATTAAAGTAGTAGTTCAAAGACAAAAGAGAAGAGTTAGAGAGCACTTCAAAGGCAAAGGCAAACAAATGTCTATTGTTTTTATCCCACATTGAAAAATGAAAGGAGATGGGGAGGGTTGAATTGTCTATAAAAGACAATGACCTCTTGTTTTTATTTTAAAATCCTTCAAGTCTCATTTTCCAAAGACAAGGGAGAAGAGTTGTAGAACACTTGAAAGACAAAGGCAAATCAATGTCTTTTATTTTTGTCCCACATTAAAAAATGAGAGGAGATGGGGAGGGTGAGTTGCGCAATAACCTCTTGTTNGAAGAGTTGTAGAACACTTGAAAGACAAAGGCAAATCAATGTCTTTTATTTTTGTCTCACATTAAAAAATGAGAGGAGATGGGGAGGGTGAGTTGCGCAATAACCTCTTGTTTTTTTTTTTTAAAGCCTCCAAGTCTTATTTTTATGAGATTTGATTTAAAATTCCTCTTTTTTTAGGTAAGTGCAATTAGTAATAAAAAAATGAAGTATTAAAATTTGTTGATATAATTTGTTTAAAATTAAACGGGGTTAAACAAGTCCTATCGTGTTATTCATTTATTAAACGTGTCGTGTATGAGTTTATATGTTTTTCACCCGTCACTCGTTTAACCCGACACGTAATCATTTAACCCGACACGATTGACACCCCTAATTGTATCTATGTTCAATTTTTTTTTAAATTACTCATTTGTGAAGAGATATAAAAGTTTCATTTATTTTTTTAAATTTCATGATTTGAATGACACCAAAAAAAAAAAACTTTGAGATAATAAGAATATTTTTTAAAAGATTTGAGTAAATATTTAAATTTGTCCATCGAAATATTCTATGTCAAATCAAATTTTTTATTTAAATTTGAGTCATAGTTTGAGATATTCTTATCTAATGACATAATAAATCATAACCATTAAATTAATAATAAATCTCAACTAATAATAGGATTCACTGTCAATTTAATTTCATAGAATGATGAGGTCCTAGCAATAGTATTAACACCTAAAAAATTGATGTAATTTACTACACTAATGATGTGGTTCCACGCGTAAGAATGGAGTAACTCAAGTTACCATGCTTGAAATTCTTTTGTGCACAATGCATAGCACTTTTGAGTCGAATATCGAATCCTTATATCCCATTCAATCCAACAGATCGCTAACCATCCACATGCACATCCACCCTAGACTAAGGTATCTCTCCCTTCTACAACACAAAACCAGGTCCATAAACTACGTCAAACAGATTCACGCTCATTTGATCACCAACGGCCTCAAATCACCTTCCATTTTATCCAAACTAATCGAACACTACTGTGCTCTAACTTCCCCACGAGGCACCGACTATGCCCATAAAATTCTCACTTTCTTTTACCCTCCAAATGTATATCTCCTGAATGTTTTGATCAGATGTACTCTCCCCAGACACTCGATCCTTGTTTTTGCCAAGTGGGTCTCTAGTCATGACCAAGTTCTCGACGATTCTACGTATTTGTTTGTACTTGGGGCCTGTGCTCGATCCTCCACAACATCTGCAATATGGGAAGGAAAACAAATCCATGGTAGCATAATAAAGCATGGCCTTTTTTCTAGTATAAGGTTGCAGACAACTGCTATACATTTTTATGCAAAAAATAAGGATCTTGGGTCCGCACGAATGGTGTTTGATGAAATGGCTGACAGAAATGGTGTTACATGGAATGCCATGATAACGGGTTATTGTTCACAAAAAGAAGGGTTCAGTGAACATGCTTGTGGCGCATTGTTATTGTTTAGCGAGATGTTGGTTCATGTTAGTGGAGTGAAACCGACGGATACTACAATGGTTTGCGTTCTTTTGGCAGCTTCTCAATTGGGTGCTTTGGAAACTGGTGCTTGTGTTCATGGGTTTATAGAGAAGACACTGTATGCGCCTGAGAATGATGTGTTTATTGGTACTGGTCTTGTGGACATGTATTCAAAATGCGGGTGTCTTGACAGCGCTTTGTGTGTATTTGATAGAATGAAGGAAAGGAATGTCTTGACTTGGACGGCTATGGTGACTGGGCTAGCCATTCATGGGAACGGAAGACAAGCCTTGGAGCTTTTGGATAATATGGAGACTAATGGGGTAAAACCTAATGCAGTGACCTTTACTAGCTTTTTTGTTGCTTGTTGCCATGCAGGGTTGGTTGAAGAATGCCTTTGTTTATTCCCCAGCATGGAGAGCAAGTTTGGCATATCCCCTCTTATACAGCATTATGGATGCATTGTCGACCTGCTTGGCCGATCTGGGCGATTAAACGAGGCCTATGAGTTCATAAGTGNAAAACAAATCCATGGTAGCATAATAAAGCATGGCCTTTTTTCTAGTATAAGGTTGCAGACAACTGCTATACATTTTTATGCAAAAAATAAGGATCTTGGGTCCGCACGAATGGTGTTTGATGAAATGGCTGACAGAAATGGTGTTACATGGAATGCCATGATAACGGGTTATTGTTCACAAAAAGAAGGGTTCAGTGAACATGCTTGTGGCGCATTGTTATTGTTTAGCGAGATGTTGGTTCATGTTAGTGGAGTGAAACCGACGGATACTACAATGGTTTGCGTTCTTTTGGCAGCTTCTCAATTGGGTGCTTTGGAAACTGGTGCTTGTGTTCATGGGTTTATAGAGAAGACACTGTATGCGCCTGAGAATGATGTGTTTATTGGTACTGGTCTTGTGGACATGTATTCAAAATGCGGGTGTCTTGACAGCGCTTTGTGTGTATTTGATAGAATGAAGGAAAGGAATGTCTTGACTTGGACGGCTATGGTGACTGGGCTAGCCATTCATGGGAAAGGAAAACAAGCCTTGGAGCTTTTGGATAATATGGAGGCTAATGGGGTAAAACCTAATGCAGTGACCTTTACTAGCTTTTTTTCTGCTTGTTGCCATGCAGGGCTGGTTGAAGAATGCCTTTGTTTATTCCCCAGCATGGAGAGCAAGTTTGGCATATCCCCTCTTATACAGCACTATGGATGCATTGTCGACCTGCTTGGCCGATCTGGGCAATTAAACGAGGCCTATGAGTTCATAAGTGGTATGCAGGTTGAGCCTGATGCAGTATTATGGAGGAGTCTGCTAAATGCCTGCAAAGTTCATGGGAATGCTGTGCTGGGTGAGAAGGTGGGAAAGATCCTTATCCAGATGCAACCAAGACAAAGATTTGTGGATTTAAAATATTTGAGTGAAGATTACATTGCTTTGTCAAACGTTTATGCTTGTTCAGGAAGGTGGGAGGATGTTGAGATGGTGAGAGAGGAAATGAAGGTTAAAGGAATTGAAACTAAACCTGGATGTAGTTCAGCTTACTCTTTTGGCAACCGCCTATTAAGTCTATGAGAGATTGTAGCTTAATTAATCTGTGTGCAGACCTGCAGTAGCAATCACTTGTCAGCTCTAATGAGCTTAAAGGGTTAATTAACTCATGGAAAAAGAGATTTAAAGAGAAATCACGTTGAAGATCAGTCTTCACCTTGGGCTATGTCGCAATACCTTGTGTAGCTTGGCCTGCATCACTACCTCGACAAACTCGAGGTCCAATAGAAGCAAGCCCTACAACCACAAGGCTTTCACTAGTAAATTTTAAGGAAGGCAATGATGGAAAAGGGCATAAAAAAACTAATAGATTGAAACTTCAACATTCCAGGGGATTGCTTTGAAAGAAATTTAGAATATCCAGAATGTGGATGCCTAGATACATGGTCTATCTTGGAAAGGGTAAGAAGAATCCTCATAAGAATATCTTGCACTTTTTTTTTTGGTTGAAACTGAGGTTGCAGAGACTTTACATGTTAAGAAAGGCTGCAACAAATATGAGGTGGCACAAGAAAGCACTTGAACGATGGAATGCGTTGAGGCATTCAGACGGTGCTGAAGCATGGAAAGGCTTTGATTTACAATATCCATACTCTGCCCAAGATGCTCATAATGTTAGGCTAGGGTTGCCTACTAATCTAGGTGGAATTCAAAGGGTTATAAGGCGTGCCAAACATATAACTATGATAAATTATTGCGGCAGTTGATAAATGAAATGTTACATGGGATGTTGTTACTTGCCTTAAGAGCATAATTGGCGTCAAAACAAGTTGTTTAACATTGACTACGAGAAGTGGTTGGAACGTAGCAGAGCTATCGGAGGAAGAGATTTCAGAATAATTAGTGCTTCAACGATGTCAATTCCAGAAGCATTTGAGCAACAAAACAAAAAATGTACATCCAATGAACTTTATTGGACAAAGAAAATGATTTTCGTTGAGCTAACCTTTTGGGAGAAACTCTGGTTTGGACTCAACATTAATGCCATGCATTAAGTGAAATATATACGACAATGTGCTTGGAACGTTGCTGAGCTTAAATGGAAAGAGCAAGAACACAGAATAAACTAATCTAAATTTGGAGGATTTGAATATAGGAAAAGAGTTGCACAAAGTACCGTGGCTCTAATAGTCTAATGTAAAACTCCATGTGTGGTATGCATTGTCCCGAAGGAAAGAGAATGCTTTTGTGATTTCTTAAAATAGTGAAGTATCCCAAAGACTATTGAACAAACATCTCAAGATCTATGAGCACTAAGGAGGTCTGTAAAAACCAAGGATGGCAAGGTATCGGGTCTCAAAAACAGTCTCATTTTTCTTCTACAATGTCTTATTTGGACTAAAATATTGCAGTTTACTTCCGTGAGTTTTATAAATGTCCACATAACATAACCCTCAGTGGACTAATCTTTACCATTAACTCTGTTAACGGAAGCAACAAAATAACCTTAATACGCTTTGGTCACTTCTTCCCCACTTACTGTTTCTTCTTCTCAATCACCTTCCACCTTTTGTCTTCATGAATGACCACAAATAGCTTCAACACAGTCGCTCAAATGGGGTGAAATAAAATTCTTAAATCTCAAAAATTGAGGCAGCCACTGAACTTCAATCTCTCCATTCACTAAAATGTTTCTTTATCATTATTTTTATCAATGCGCACCAGATTCAAATAAAAACCCATCAAAACCAGTCGGTGCATGAACAGAGACCACACCCAGTCATCCTTGCAACGCTTTGAAAATTTGAAAGTCCAAGTCAGAAGTCAAAAACATATTCTTCGTAATCAATATTTAAAAATCAGAGTCGACAGATCCCCAAATATTGTCGTCAATTCCTCTCCAAATCTAAATCGCCACTACCACCATCACAAATCGACTCTAATTGCTACAGTCACCATCAACTACTCTGGCCCCCATCATCTTCGAACCTCAAACACTTTCCTCTCTAGTCTAGAACAACAATCCACTGTCTAGGGAAGTGAGGGAGAAGCAGAGAAACGAGAGACAGAAGAGGTAAAGAAATGAGAGAAGAAAGGAAGGAACGTTTATGGAGAAAAGTAGGTGATTTCATATTTTTTTGTAATTCTAGAACCATGCAAGGGTATTTATGTCTTCCAAAAATGTGTCGTACGAACCAAATCCTTTGTGGTTATGATCTATTTTGATGTGCGGTTGGCTGGGAAGGCTATGCTTTCTGGCCCGGTTAATTACCGGTGGATGTACCAAGTGAAAGATAACTATTATTCCAAAATTATGGCAAGTGGAAAAAGATAAAAAAGAAAAAGGCATACACCAAACATCATGTGAAGGAAAATGCCGTGAAAAAATAATAGATTAAGCTGTCTATGCAGCACTGCACATAATTAATCAGAGGCAAGAAGTTAGGTCTTATCCACGATGCATTAGACCATAAAGAATAGGACTGCTTGCAAGACAAACCAATAAGAATTTTCAAGTACAATTGTTCTTCAGCACAACCCTTTTGACAAAATCTCCAATGTAGTTGCTGTCTTCTGTTCATCACTGCTGGTCTCCGTTGCACTGCGTTCCACCAGAGTTCATCCCCCCACGAATCCGCTTCTGCAGATGCTCCAAGCTAGCCACTCGCTGCATTGAATCTGTTCGACCCATCTTGTTCACACCAACTGTAGCTGCAGCTGGATTTTGCTGTACATCATCCACTGGAGGAATGTTGACCAAACCATTCTGAATTCCATCGTGACTGGACACGTGATTATTGGAAGCAGGTTGATAGAAGTGCTGCTCTGGGTCATCTTGCACAGGGACAGCAGCGTCTGTTGATGTGTCAGGACTTCCAGCAAAGGATGGCATACTCATTGTCGACATCTCAGACATGGCTTGGAACAATGGATTCAACCCAGTAACTCTTTTAACTGTCTCCTCAGCCATCTTCACCTGAAAATAATATAAGCAATCACATGAGAAATTCTTGAATACAATATTCGTNAACAATGGATTCAACCCAGTAACTCTTTTAACTGTCTCCTCAGCCATCTTCACCTGCAAATAATATAAGCAATCACATGAGAAATTCTTGAATACAATATTCATTTCACAGAAGAGGGTTGCCTACATTATGTCGTTTCCTGTCTACTTCACTTTATTTTCAGTCACAATAAAAACATGCACACGCAGTTTCATGTTTGGTTTCGTTTCATTTGTTTTTGGGGATCTGGCACAGACGGTTGTTTAACTGTGTCCAAAGATTTATTTCCAAAACACCTTTCGGAGATGATGGGCAATGCATCCCACCACAAAACTCCAAAGAACTGTTTACCTTTGCTCTCAATGTTTCAACATCAGCTTTCAGAACTCTATTGTCAACAGCCGNTCACTTTATTTTCAGTCACAATAAAAACATGCACACGCAGTTTCATGTTTGGTTTCGTTTCATTTGTTTTTTGGGATCTGGCACAGACAGTTGTTTAACTGTGTCCAAAGATTTATTTCCAATACACCTTTCGGAGATGATGGGCAATGCATTCCACCACAAAACTCCAAAGAACTGTTTACCTTTGCTCTCAATGTTTCAACATCAGCTTTCAGAACTCTATTGTCAACAGCCGCATCATTGTACTTCTGGCTTATGTCAGTTAGACGCTTCAATAAAGAAGAATTCTCAACTCTTAACTGAGAAACCTACGAAGAAGGAAGAACCAAGAAGAATATATCGTCAGTCAAACTAATTATGAAGATAATTCATAAATGAAGGCAATGGTCAAGTATGTGGAAAACCTGTGTCTCAAGTTCGGTCAAATGAGCCTGTTTTCTTCTTCTTGAGCGTCTTGCTGATTCCCTATTTGAAAGCATTCTGACAAACACTAGACGAATTAATTGAAGGGAATTGATTTTGACAACAAAATGCATGCACAACAAAAAAACCCCTTTTTTGGAAAGGACAAACAAATTCAGAAATATTGGAGCAAACATTTAAGGGTCTTATAATGCATGGAATATCAAAAGTGTAGTATGTTCCACAAAGCAAACATATAGTAACTCTAAAGTTCACCTGAACAAGGAGAGAGCAGCTGCTGGTTTGATAGACAGCAGTCTTCTCCTTCAAAAACTCTTTCTAAAGTGAAAGAGTCAAGCATCATATCTGTCATAAACATGCAGATTTGAGCACCCAATTGGTTAAAATTAATTAGTCTTGGCACCTTGAACCTCATCTGTTTAGGAGTTAAACTTGTGATCTTTATGATCAGAGCATTTTTATGATGACTGATTCCCTATTTTTGACATTTCAAGTTTTAAAGAAGGTTGACTTTAGTATCTCATATCTCAATTGTTTGTCAAACACAATCGTAAGCAAAGAACCCATGGGGCGCTCGGTCAAAGTGCATAGAACTCTCCACTGTTGAAAAAAGAAAGAGTTTTGATGCTTCCTTGCTTAATAAGGGACTCTATTCTCCTTCATGGGACTCAATTCTCCTTCACAACCAGTTAAAAGGCTAGGCCCAGTAGGTTTCTAGGTACTTTGTTGGCTCTAGAATTATGGCACTTGTGAAATCCTTAGCGTAGGATGTGATGAATTAAAGCCAAGAAGATGAACAATGACAAGACAAATGAAAATTTTGGTCATTGACTAAGAATATTTTGTCAATAACTACAAGATTAATGCTATTTATCTGCTGTCTGCCGCAGGTTGTCTTAGGGGAAAAAGATTCATATTCCAGTGAGTAAAATCATCCAACGGATGATCTCTTGTTAACAAGATTACCAGAGTAGACAATTTCTGATCATAAATTCTTGTCTTCCCATGGATTTGTTTGATGGAGAACAATGCCAGGAACAGAAGTTCCAAAACATGAATCAACAACTCTTTTTGAACTTTACATGCACCCTATAAACATGCAAGCATTGTCTTAAAAGACAATTTATATTTTAGAATTTCGTGATTGAAGACTAGCACTGGAAGCTTTTATTCTTCAACTAAATGTTTCCACCTACAAACTGATATGTTCACTAATCTCCCATGTTATGTATGATATAGCGAACTCCAACACCATAAATACCAATTTCTACATTGATAAAAATTATTAGCAACTTCAAAAGTGAAAAATGAGTACCTCCTGACACGTTTTGCATCAGCAGGGTCCCTATTCTGAGTCGTTTCTGTCTCTCCTTCCAGGTCATCATCATCTGACTGTTCTTGGGATGATCCACTTGTTGTTGACCTCAACTGAACCCCAGATTTCTTTTGCATGGCAGGCAATGAAGGAATTCCCAGTGGTCCGACAGCTTCCTTATCTTGTCCCCTGGAGGAATTGTGCCCAGATCCTACATTGGTTATGAGAACACAAAAAGATGATATTATTTTACCAAGATAACTCAACCAACCCTCATGCTGCAGTCCACAACGTATTTTCTGTGTGTAAGGATCCAAATACAGAAACAGAGAAAACATAAAATACACAAATCATGTGGTTAATACCCAGTCTGGTTCCCCATAACCGAGGGCACTACGAAGGAAATAGTGCGTCCAGACCAACATTTGGCTTTATTTGCACTAAGTGCCTAGCATCAAATACAATTTCGATAACCTTGCGGCTGTGCCTAAGCATTTTACCAAACCAAGCATGTGATTAATAGGAGGGGGACAAACTTAATTACATACTGCATCCCAAGAACTAGAGATTGGCAAAGCAAAGCTTTGTAGGGCTTTCAGTTTACCATGTTATTAAATCTATTTCACCATGGATGTTCCAAATTTTTCTAGTTAACTTTGTATGCATACCAATTGGTGTCCTACTACACCACTCCATTGCCAATGGGTGGAAAAGAATGGATTCCCACCAATTATGTTAACCTAAAGTTCTTCATTTACACTATCTATACCCTTAAATAGAAAGGACAGAAAATTCAAACCTAATGCTCGCAACTAATTCTCCATCCAACTTTTCCCATAACTTTACTCAGCTGTTAAAAAGCCCAGAAGTGGAGGGCAAATCATAAGAACTTTATCAGCAACAAAACAAGTCCACAGTTTGACCAGGAATGCAGTGAAATGGTTCACAAAAAATTCGACCAACTCTTCCCACGAGATTCGCAACTGACAAGACAATAATAAATAACATAAGTAAAATTTTTCCAACTCAAAACATGACAATTCCAATCCCCCAATCAGTAACATCGGCTGTGACACAATAGGTACACTATACACAAATAGGTGATACATATACATACCTTCATACATATATAGATATAAACTTGGTAAAATTGATTGTAAACTACAACGACATGGTGCAAACGTCGGGAATTGTCTAACCACTTCTATTCTCAACATCTTTCTCCGAGAAGAGGACTGTAACTCTGGAAGACACAATCTACCTGGCCATGATCAGGGCATATATGCATGCACACAAGTTGCATGGTGCAGGAGCACACACAATGCATGTAGGGTACTCAAAAGCCAGGACAGTGCAGTTAGAGCATGGAAAAAACAATATTCCATAATAACATCAAGATACTAACCGTTAGAAGGAATCTGAGTTCCCAATTGTGGAGTATTGGAAGCCTGTGATGCATTGTCAGGTATGGCAGTAGATTCTTGAGGTTTCACATAAGATGCCTATAGACATGAATAAGAACATTAGTGAGTTAAACAGTGCCTGTGATCTTTCAGCACAAGGTTAAAGAAAGTCATTTTTTAAAAAATATATGCTGCTGGAATCACAATTAAGTTAATATGCACCTCCCTTCCAACCTCCAAAACCCAAAAAAAAGAAAAAGATCAAAAATTGNAAGAAAGTCATTTTTTAAAAAATATATGCTGCTGGAATCACAATTAAGTTAATATGCACCTCCCTTCCAAGTTCCAAAACCCAAAAAAAGAAAAAGATCAAAAATCGAAAAGGGGAAAAAGGAAAAATAAGTTAAGGGTTAGCAAGTCATTCATGTGAGGTACAAAAACATTAATCATTTCTAAGTCATCTAGACAGAGTAGATAGAATTTGAGTATGACAACACCCTCATACTGCTCCATTATTGTAGCTTATGTTTTATCCTTTTCTTTCATTTACAAATCTTCTAAAACAGGATCTTATGCCCTCTGTTGCTCTCCACGAGTTAGTAGACAAATCCTTACTTAAGAACTTTACCTCTAGCAACCAAACATATAAAAAATATCTGGTATTTGACGCTTTTTCCTCTTCCTTAAGCCCCAACCTCTCAAAAATCTATATATATATAAAACAAACATTATTTTTTTGTGTGAGAGAGCTTGAGAAGTCTTCCCTCCTCAAATGCTTATTTTCTAGATTTTTGAAATATTTAATTGTCTCCTTCCAAGTCAAATTATTCTATTTGGTTTATTTAACTACTCCCTCTATCTTTTGTAACCTAAGAAATACGGACACGGATACGACACGACACGAACACACCAACATAAAATTTTTCAAAGAAGTAGGGCATGGACACGTTGACGATACGTTAAATAACATGTATGTATATATGTGTGTATATATATTATCATAATAATCTTTTAATTCATTATTTCTCTAATTCTAAAATTTTTCAAAGAAGTAGGGCACGGACATATTGACGATACGTTAAATAATATGTATGTATATATGTGTGTATATATATTATCATAATAATCTTTTAATTCATTATTTCTCTAATTCTAAAATTTTTCAAAGAAGTAGGGCATGGACATATTGACGATACGTTAAATAATATGTATGTGTGTGTGTGTATATATATTATCATAATAATCTTTTAATTCATCATTTCTCTAATTCTAAAATTTCACATCATGATATCACTACATAAAAGGCACAATATAAGATACACCGATACACATTCAACGTTAACATCCATGATCCAACAATCAATGACTAGTATAACTTTTATTTTAAAAAATATTCTACTTCGTTATACTAATTTACATCAATTTTCAAGAGCCCCAATTTTGTAACCCCTTTTTTCTCACATTACTTTTATATTAAAAATTTATTCTATTTGAATATAAGTTCATATTCATATTCATNCCATGATCCAACAATCAATGACTAGTATAACTTTTATTTTAAAAAATATTCTACTTTGTTATACTAATTTTCATCAATTTTCAAGAGCCCCAATTTTGTAAACCCTTTTTTTCTCACATTACTTTTATATTAAAAATTTATTCTATTTGAATATAAGTTCGTATTCAAAATTATGTTACATTCATGTCTTATGCTCAATTTAATGATTATAACTTATTTTATATTATGATTCTGACTTATATCCCTTTAAAATTACAAAAATAACTCTTAAATATAAATTTATTTAAAAATTTCTCAAAACGTGTCCCCAGCATCCGAGCATCCGATTATTGGAATTCTGCAAAATTTCGACCGGTCAATGGAAGAAATTTTAGTATTCCGCAAAATCGCGGATAAGAATGCAAAATACCCATAAAAATTTTGTATTCCGTTNATTATTGGAATTCTGCAAAATTTCGACCGGTCAATGGAAGAAATTTTAGTATTCCGTAAAATCGCGGATAAGAATGCAAAATACCCATAAAAATTTTGTATTCCGTTCCAACCCGCACATATATTTAATTTTTTAAAAAAATATATATATTTGGTGTAAAACAACTTCATTTTAAAGTTGGTTTAGTGGTTGGATTTGATTGCAATGGACTTGGAAGAAAAGGAGCTTGTAGAAATGAATGGTGCTATGGGCAAACAGATTTAATTTGGTAAGTGGGTTTGAGTTTTTTTATTACAGTTTTGATGTATAATGAGTTCTGTTTGTTGTAAGCCCTCTACCATTGCAGATATTAAGGAGAGTCCAAGGGAGATATTATCAAGTAAAACCTCCTCGAATTTGAGGGTGTCAAGGGCGATTTCATCAATAAGAGATGAAGGTTATAGAGTAAATGACCGGTATGATAACAATGATAAAGGATCCATATTTCGCATTCCTAACCGAATTTCGAGTCGATTTTTTGGACAAAATTCGACTTGGAACATTAACCTCGATCTGGTTGGGTCGGCCAAGAAATTGGCCTTCCGCAATTCTTCAGTTTGGAAGATGGAATCCACTATTTCCTACCATTCGGCTGGGGGCTATTCAGCCCTACCCAACATGTCCAAAACTTGTTCCGAAAAAAATTTAATAATAAAAAAATCAGACACTGATTTTAACGTGTTTGACACGTGTCCGACACTGACACTCTGCCCAAAATAAAGTATCCATGCTTCCTAATTTGTAACTACTTTCACTATCTTTTTAAATTATTTCAAATTTAAATTTTCAATCATGTTTCTTCAAGTTTTAACATTTAACAAAAAATTATTTTAACTCTTTAATGAGTAATTTTTCAGTAATGTGAGGATTAGAAAAGGTGGGATTGGGTGATGATGAGGGAGACAAATTTTGTGCATTACACAAGACGGCCGCTAATAAGCTACTAAAAGAAACTATGTTTTCTTGCATGCATCCAAAAGACAGAGGAATACAATCGATGGAACTTCCAATTTCAGACAAAGGAAATACTCCGCAACTTAAATAGGATATTGGTTCACAAGGATTACTATTCTGAATAGACCTTGATTGATTAGGCCTCACAATAGCATAGTTGATGAATTCAAGACATATCCACAGAAACAATAATTAGTTTTATAACCTTTAGGAAACTTGCTAAAGCCTCCATGCTAGCAAGAAATATCACCGAATAGATCCGAGTAATACTGTGGATGGAAACTACAAATTCTNTAACCTTTAGGAAACTTGCTAAAGCCTCCATGCTAGCAAGAAATATCACCGAATAGATCCAAGTAATATTGTGGATGGAAACTACAAATTATGGTGACACGGATTATAAATACAAAAGAACCATTATTTGCATTCTTCATGACTGCATAAGTGATGCATTAAACCAAACCCATTTGAGGAGAAAGGAGAAAAGACAGAAAAAGAACTAGGCCAACGTTAGACAATATAGATCCAAACTAGTTACTGTGTCTGCATATAAACAAAACACTTTGGACCAATAGTATAAGTCATTTCTTTGAAGATAATTCATAATGATGCATTTTATTTCCACCATAGCAATTCCTTTTTCCTTTTTCTCGAGAAATGCAAAAATGATATATTCTGCTCAGTGAGGCGGCAAATATAGTTTCTCTACAGCACATTGTGATAAACGTTACTAAGACAATTTAAAATGTAGAACTCACTCTAGATTTGGAGCTTTTTGCATACTAAAAACAAGAGAACATAGAATGTCTTCTACGGGGCACTCTTTGAAGTTTTCCATTAGCCACGTCCCTTTTGTATTACTCTACACTAGTGTAACGTNCAAGAGAACATAGAATGTCTTCTACGGGGCACTCTTTGAAGTTTTCCATTAGCCACATCCCTTTCGTATTACTCTACACTAGTGTAACATNTTGCATACTAAAAACAAGAGAACATAGAATGTCTTCTACGGGGCACTCTTTGAAGTTTTCCATTAGCCACGTCCCTTTTGTATTACTCTACACTAGTGTAACATGCTATGGCTGACCGTGTCACTAGGGTGAATTTGATCCACAACTTCTGTATCAGCTATGGCCTTTCCGGAAAATCACAAGGTTGATAGAAAACTATTTGAGTCTAAAAGAATTCAACATTTGATATTTCTAGATCAAACATCGTTCAGGATAAATTTTTACCTAGGGCTATTTAAAGCTTTAGCAATCCAACTTTGACATTTATTATTTTTATTCATATATTTCATAAGTTGCACAACAGCACCCATGTCAGAACTGGTTCTTGAATATTCATTCACCCAGGTAAGACAGGAGTATTATNAGCAATCCAACTTTGACATTTATTATTTTTATTCATATATTTCATAAGTTGCACAAAAGCACCCATGTCAGAACTGGTTCTTGAATATTCATTCACCCAGGTAAGACAGGAGTATTCTGATTAGATGAAGCATGCAGAAGTACAATTTCAAAATCAAAGAACCGTTTTTCCCGATATATCTCCTCATTTTTTTCGAAATCTCTTCATCCTCCTCCAAATCTTTTCATCCACCTTACAAAGATATTAAAGAGTTGATAATAAGAAGGTTGNAAATCTCTTCATCCACCTTACAAAGATATTAAAGAGTTGATAATAAGAAGGTTGTCAACAAATTGTCTACAAATTTTTTAAAACATTCTCCGGGACAAAAGAATTGCGGAATTAGCCATCTTAATTTTCTTGAATCGAGATGGAACTGAAGACACCCACAATACGGAGACCTTCTAAACTAACACATAACTACTATGGCAAAAAGAAAGATCAAATACAATTCAACCAAACTAAAAACAATAATGGGAATTTTAACAGAACTAAGCAAAGAATTCAATCAATCGCCTTACTATTGAAAAACCATAAGACCCAGTTAAATAGCTGAGAGAATTGTGTGTGTGTTTTTGCCTGTCTGTTTTTGCAATACAAGAACCCTTTTTGCAATCCCATATTTAGCATCAACCATAAAACTTATAAGCACCAATTTTTTGCTTTTCTTATCTCATCCGTTCAATTTTCTCGGCAACCAAACAGAACCCAAAAACCAGAAGATGTCAAAGAAATCATACCCGAGTTAAAGCCACAGCAGCACAAGCGAGATTGAGTCGACTCTTGAGAAAAGCCTGATATTCTTCCGAATCAACCGGCATATTTGGCGGGGGTGACCCTCCAAACGGCGCCGTGTTGGTCGAACTCGCACCCATCTCCGTTTGATCACGATTATGATCACGATCTTTGACATCGACGACGTCGTTCTTGATATCAGTCTGTTTAGACGACGACGAAGAGGAAATAGGCGGCGGTTGGGCGGCGGATGAATCAGGTGCGGACACCTCCTGGAGGAAGCGCTGGATGGCCCACTCGGAGGAGCTGCGGCTCATCATCTTTGATGCGGACGAGGATGAGTATTCCTCATCGGTAGCTTGGGAGAGATGAATCGGCGGCGGTGACCAAAATTGGTCGGCAATTTCGTCCGCTGAAAACACCCTATCCATTTTGCCCCTCTCTCTCTCTCTCTCTCTCTCTCTCTCTCTTAATTCTCACTCAAAGACTAGTAAATATTTGTATTTCTACACCTGGATCTTGCAGGGATACTCCGACTACGTTGTTTACTAAACACATTGGCAAGGATAGAATATGAATATATTAGTCATAATTCATTTATGAAGGGACCGCGCAATATAAAATTTAAGTGTTTAAAAAAATAATTTAATTATATTTAATATTAATTTTATCAATTATATTTTTCAAAATATATGACATTAAAAAAATATCAACATATATATATTACCATCGNGAAGGGACCGCGCAATATAAAATTTAAGTGTTTAAAAAAATAATTTAATTATATTTTAATATTAATTTTATCAATTATATTTTTCAAAATATATGACATTAAAAAAATATCAACATATATATATTACCATTCATGTTACAGATTTAATTTGTTAAGTTGAATATTATTTTTATCTATTATATTATTAAATGAGCATAAAAAATTTGTGAGGATAAAATTTAACATGTTAACTATCTTATTATATAGATGAGAGGGTTTTGATATTATATATTGTTTTATTAGTTTTAAAAAATAAATGTATTAATTTTTTATTTTGGGGGAGGGGGTATGGATAAAAACCAAAAATCATATCAATTGGTGCAATTCATTTTGGAAAGTAACAAACTTGTTGTTTTGCATGATATATATCTCAATTTTTGTGGTCTAAGGTTTAGAGACTACCCGAAATTTGGATTTTTTTGGAATTTGTTATGTATTTATTTTAATTTTAAATTATAAAAATATAACAATGGTTAAAATTGATTTAATTTTTATTTATTTTGATCTAATAATATAAAATTTATTCCTAAATTTGTTTTCCCGCTCAAAAAACATCAATTTTTCAACACAGTCCTCAATGTCAAATAATTCAACCAACACATTTTTCAATATCAAATTACTTCATTAATTCACAGCTACCTTTCCATTATCTCTCTTCTTTACCTCTATCTTATTTTCTCTCTGTTCACTTCAATTTTAAATTACATAATTAAAAAATAAATATAAAAATTAATTATTATTAAAAATATGAATATCATGCTATTTATGTTTGATTTTTTTANAAATTACATAATTAAAAAATAAATATAAAAATTAATTATTATTAAAAATATGAATGTCATGCTATTAATGTTTGATTTTTTTATATTATAGAGTATTTTCGGACACAAAATTATTTGTAGTATTTATACGTTATTACTAGGTTTTTGTTTTGATTTTTGACTTGGTTTCTTTTTCACCAATGTTCAACTTAAAAAATTCTTCAGTTTCTAAATTTATTTTGGAAATTATTGTCATATACACAACCTTGCAAGTAGAGAGTTTCATTTTATCGCTTTTAAAAAAAAAAAAATATTTGGTGGATTTTCCTAAGACAGTTAATCATAATGATTTTTGCTTATGGAGAAATCTATTATTTTGAAAGTCTTATCCATTTAAGTATGTCAACGGATTATTTTGACATCTATGTTAGGTTTGGTATTGACGAGGCTCGACAGGGTTTATCCGAATAGTTTAGGTAGTGTTTGGTAAGCGCGTGTTTTTGTTTTTTTTTTTATTTTATGGCAAAAAAAAAAACATGTTTGATAAATATTTTTATTTTTTTTTAATAGCTCTGTTTTAAAAGCAAGACTAAAAGATAAAAACATCTAAAAGAATGTTTTTGAAAACATCAAAAAAAAACACGCGCGAGTCATTTAATGAGGTCTGGTCTTCAATCCTCCTTAATAATAAAATATGAATTTTTTTCTTGAGTATATAAAAGGTCATTCCTCTTTCACCTCTCATATCTCTGTCATCTCTCTCTCTCTCTGTGCTAAAGACAAACGAAGCCGAAGCCAAAGCAGCGCCATCTCGCCCCGTCTCCCTCTGTCGCTCTCACTCTCTCTCTCAACCTTCTCTATTTTGGTGGTGGTGATGAATTTTGGAGAGTGGTGGGGTGGGGTTGGTTGGTGGNATATCAAACATATTTTTTATTTTTGTTTTTATAATTTGTTAAATATAAATGACTATCAAACATGTTTTATATTTAAATTTTTATCACAAAAAAAAAATTTGTTTTATTTTTTTTTTATTAAAAAAAACATAAAAACAAAAACGGTATCAAACGCACCCTTAATTAGAATCAAATTTTAATGAATTACATCAGTAATGCTACATTGATCAAATTTTAGAATCAAATTTAGAGCTCAAATGACATGACAGCTGACTTGAGTTTTTTCATTTGGGCTCCAATAAAAACTTCAAATAATATGTTGTCATATCATTTGAGCTTTAAATTTGGTCAGCATAACATTACTCGAATTACATTTGAATGTTAATTCAATATCATTAAATAATCACTCATTTTAATTATATAGACATTAATTCAGAGTATATTACAAATGGACTGGCTATTTGTATATTCAAATTTGAATGCATGACATAAATGAACTCAAATTCAAATAATTTATGGAAAATATCAATCAATCTCTGAAAGCATCTCCAACCCTGATTTAAACTAAAAAAAAATTTCAAACCTTAGACCTAAATTTATACCAAATTAAAGAAAAATTTATCTTGAACTTAGATTGAGGGTGACTTACATCCTATATCAAATTTTCAATAGACACTTTTTATCATATCCAAACTCAAAACTCTTCTTCGAACGGGATAAGCTCTTACCTCTCATACATTTTTTTTCAAAGTCTTTGTCATTGTCACCGAACACACCATTTATTCATGCCTCTATTCTTTAAGGATAACTTTTTACTCTCTCTCTATATATACACTCTTTTTCTTTATCTCTTTACTTTTTTTCTCTCTCATAAACTCTTATTCACAAAAATTCTCTTTATTTCTCTTTCATCTCTTGTCTCTCATACTTAATAAAAAAACTCACGAAATTACCACTCAAAAAGATTNGTCATATCATTTGAGCTTTAAATTTGGTCAGCATAACATTACTCGAATTACATTTAAATGTTAATTCAATATCATTAAATAATCACTCATTTTAATTATATAGACATTAATTCAGAGTATATTACAAATGGATTGGCTATTTGTATATTCAAATTTGAATGCATGACATAAATGAACTCAAATTCAAATAATTTATGGAAAATATCAACCNCTATTTGTATATTCAAATTTGAATGCATGACATAAATGAACTCAAATTCAAATAATTTATGGAAAATATCAACCAATCTCTGAAAGCATCTCCAACCCTGATTTAAACTAAAAAAAAATTTCAAACCTTAGACCTAAATTTATACCAAATTAAAGAAAAATTTATCTTGAACTTAGATTGAGGGTGACTTACATCCTATATCAAATTTTCAATAGACACTTTTTATCATATCCAAACTCAAAACTCTTCTTCGAACGGAATAAGCTCTTACCTCTCGTACATTTATTTTCAAAGTCTTTGTCATTGTCACCGAACACACCGTTTATTCATGCATCTATTCTTTAACGATAACTTTTTACTCTCTCTCTCTATATATACACTCTTTTTCTTTATCTGTTTACTTTTTTTCTCTCTCATAAACTCTTATTCACAAAAATTCTCTTTATTTCTCTTTCATCTCTTGTCTCTCATACTTAATAAAAAAACTCACGAAATTACCACTCAAAAAGATTGGCATTCGTACATTTTATTTTGGCTAACATTAGTCAAGTTTGTAAGAAAACAAGTTTTAATATTGAATAAAATGCTTTGGTAAGAAAAATTAAAAAAAATGAACTTTGAGACAATAAAAGAATTTTTTAAAACATTTGAGTAGTTATTTGAGTTTGTTCATTAGAGTGTTTTATATCAAATCAAATTTTTTATTTAAATTTAAATTCAAATTTGAGTCTAAAAATCTAAAATTGAGTCATTGTTAGAGATAGTACTAATCAATTTCATATTGGGATTTATATCGAAGTTTGATTCATTGATAGAATGACATATCTTTCCCTTGTATGTGGGTCAGTTTTATGCATTGCTTGCTACCGTGAACTTTAGACACTGTGATGGTCCATGTACCAGTGTTGATCCTAAAAACTCACCCTATCACTTGTGACACGAATTTTTTTTTTATGTTTGTTTTCTTTTTAAATTGGTAAGAATCTTCCTCTTATATGCTATTTTATATTATTTAAAAAGTATTTAAAATGCAAGTGCTTTAACTTTGGAAAATTTGTAAACCCCCTCAACATTTTGCGAGTATCTCCATTTTCTAAACTCAAGCTAATTGTTTTATGGGTAAAAATCATACTTAGTCCCTAAACTTTGTTTTCCATTTTAATTTGATCCATAAATTTTTCATGGCAAGATCCAAAGAAAGTCTACATTTTCTTATCTCATTGGGGTACCCAATCTAACAACCTGACACAATATTTGCCGAGTATTTAATAAAATAAGAAAGATTTTTAAAAAATTACATCGATAATGTTTGTCAATTAATTCCATTTTAATGTTGTTATCAATTCAAACACAACAATTAAAATAAATTCCTAACTTAATCATTTTAAATCCAATATAAATTAATAGAATAATTTAAAACAAATGTGATAATGTATCAATAAAATCTACAATATAATAATATTACCTTAATCAAAGTAAGAATTAACTTCTTGTAAAAAAAAAATATACATCACACAACGCTTAAAAAGTCCCAAAGTTGACATACCAAAAAGAATGAAAAGTCATATAACAATTGAAATGTCCCAAGAGTGTGCCGCCAAAGTTGATATACCAAAAAGAATGCAAAGACACATAGCAATTAAAAAGTCCCAAAAGTGTGCCGTTGAATTGTCATAAGAATGCAAGATAATAAAAGTGTTTTGATAAATAAAGGATAAGGATAAAATTGAAATATAATTGAATTAGGACTTCATTAAAATAAAATATTAAAAATAAGACTTCATTGATATAAAAAAAAATAATAGGACTTAATGAATGTTTGTAGA